ATCGCGCGAGTTTTTTTTTTAATAATATTTATTTTTACTGTGTTCTTTAAACGAGAGGTAATTACATATGTTTTAGTAGCTCCATCTATCTTATTTCTTATGAACATACCTGTAGATTTTGACAAGGGTATTCTGTAAGAATCTACAGGTGAACTGAAAGATTTCAACCGCTTTCATTGAGGTTCAATTAGAATGAGGAGTATTTAGACATGCAATATCTTATCCTTTAAACGAGCAATTCTTGTATATATATATATATATATATAGTATGTGGAGGACCGAGCCTTGCTCGGTTTGTTTTTTTTTGGTAAATCGTGTCTTTTGGAAATTACATTTAGATACAAATTACTGAGTAATGAAATATGCATAATATTTTTCGATCTTACCGACGTAATAATAAGAAAATATGAACTGGTGGTATATATATATATATAATCAGAATCTCGGAAACGGCTCCAGCGATTTTCATGAAATTTAGTATGTGCGTAGATTCTGGGGTGATTCTCGGTCGGTACCAAAAAAAAAACGGTCCTCCAGGTACTATTAAATGAACGAAGTATTGTTAGCTAGAGGTGCAACAAAGATTTACCGCTAAAATGTGAAGTGAATTATTCCTTTAAGACAGCCCCCAAACATAGCTGCGTTCCGTGGCTTGGCTTTCAGGCTTTAATTAAAACCGTCACTTGAGTATAAAGGAAAAACACTTGTAGGTACAGATATAATTGACGTAATAATTTCTACAACATGTAAGAAACCCGTTCTGACTCAATGTTAGAAGTAATAGGTATAATTACGCAACGTAATGCTCTCGACAGTTTCATATGCGAAGTTAATGTGTAAAGGTCATTAACCTTCGCCACACTGTGCCTCGAATTCGGTTTTTGCCGACCGCATAAAATACGTAGGAATAAATTTTAGGCTGCGGAAAATTATTATTTATAGCACAATGAACTGATTGATCCATGTTAAAATTTATTTGTTCCAAGGTGTTGAATAAATCGGCAATATGCAAACGAAATTGTAATAAAACATTTCCCTTACGAATTTTCTAATTTGAATTGTGTTCACTCACTACAGGGCCAATCCGTGCTTATTTAAATTCTCGGCCGATCGGAGAAAACGCGAGACCGGCTGTCCAGCTATCTTACTAATTAACCCTATTAGCAAGCCGGAGTGGGACCGGTCTTCAAATTTCGATTAGAGCTACGAATTGGTCATATAATTTCGCAGTTCGCCCGTGGCCGGGGACGACCTTTTTATTCCACCGGTCGCTATTTAATAGTAAGATCTAACGACTTTCTCTTTCACCACAGCCGCTCGGCGAGAGCTCGCCAACTGGAGCGCCCCGCGAAATGCCAGCGCCGAAATTCGTTAGACCCTCTGGACCATAGCTGAGGAGCACACGAAAAAAATCGCTCGTTTCCGCTATTTTTAGAAACCTGTCCAACGAGTCCAGCCCCGTCTGGAATAGCCGACTCCGCTGAATAGCGTTTGGAGGTGAAACGCGACGGAACGAGACGAACCGATGGGTCCAATAAGGCAGAAATAGGACGGCCGATGTGCTGAATTCTTGCGTGTCAACTCATTGTGGTCTGTTTGCAGCGCCCCCCTGTGCCGAAATGTGGTGAACAGTTGTAATGACTGACTAATATTGTGTTTCATTACTCTCATGATTTTGGACGCGGTGTGCCGGCTGGCGACCGGGGCGTTTGCCTGGCAACCAAACGGACTCGGATGCGGAGTCTGCTTTTCTCTCTCTCGCTAAATTAGTAAGAGGACCCACAATAATTCCTCGCACATTCATATTACGTATACAGGGACAAACAAAGGTGATAGAAATAAAAACGTGATCAATAATAATGATACCGATTAATGAAATTATTATTACTTTTAGTATTGGCTTGGTTTATACATTCCAAGGTCGCTGCTCAACTTTTGTCAGCCCCGAATTATTGAAGTTGAAAGCAAACTTGACCAAAATCATGTATTTATTCAAATTTTCTTTCCATCAGTCTCAAAAACAATTTCATCGCAGTAATGCGTAGAAAAAATCGTAGATAATGTTTAGAAGTTATTTAATACGTTTTCTATAGATACAATGCATGGAATAAACTTGTTAACCTTCCAGTTAATGTTATGACAATGTTAGACTCTCTCTCTTCATCGCTTGGCAGCTAGGTGCGTTAGTCACATTTAAATAAACTCTAGAAAATTCTAAAAAGTACTCCTACAATACCTGTAATCTGAAGGGCTTTCGGTAATATTTATATCTACGAATGATGCCTTAGAAATTTTACACCTTTGAAATGTAGTATTCGCGCTTTGGAATCAAAATATTTAACATTTCACACAAGTCCTATTGACGGTTTCGGATAACACGACAATAAATGAGCTTCATAATCAAATTACAAGTAATTTAGATGTTTATATTATCGTATCGTTTATAAAGTAAAATAGCAGCCTCTATTTGTGCTATTGCCGTAATTATTGCGGATTGGCAACTCCAAATATCTTCCACCGTTACTTTGATAATACACAATTCTACTTACGATGATAGATGCACAGGCACGTGACAAGTCAGCACTTAAAACTGCATTGACCAACCTTCTTGTTATCCCGCCACCGGGATTCCAGATCCAGGCAAAAAAAAATATAATAAACTAAAATAAAAGCGAGCACTCGTGCACTGAGTTATCTTCACTCTGTCCGGTAAATAATTTATATTCAATGGTATAACAAGAGATTTAGTCTAAATTATAAGAATTAGAAAAAATATATGTGTGTGCTTATGTACGCACATAATAAGTTTTTCAGTGCACTTACGTAAGCACGATAGAAGCGGATCAAAAAAAAAATAACTAAAAATTTGATCCCCTGTGCCTTATTGCATTGCTTATATAAAATACATTAAATGCAATAGCTAACGGTTTAATTAAATACCTTGGAATTATAGGTAAATTTCGAAAAGTTTTTATTGGTTGCCATGGTAATACCGTGAAGTTGATCATTTTCCCACCGACTTGATCACGTCGCTTTTGGGCTGTCAGTATGCGCTTATCGTCTAAATTTTACTTTAATAACTTTTCCCAATCGCGCCAAAAAACTTCAAAAATGAAATTCATTTCACAATGCTATAAGTTCTTTTTGTTGACGACAATTCGGAGGTACAGTGCATAATTTTTAAACAACGGGTAGACAAGTTTTGATAATTTCGAGCGTTTAATCGTTGCAGAACAGTTACAGCACAGTCAGTGCCGGGACTGGTTCGAATAAAACCTTCTTTTTAAGAGCCGTTGAGCTTTTCTGATTAAGAGCCGTGATAGCTCAGTGTCCGGGCGCTCGCCTTAATTCAATATACTCGAGCAACTTGTGTTCGATTCCCGGTGCCGGCACCAATGAAATTGTTAATTTTAAGTGGCGAATTTTCACGTGCTCAGCGGAGAAGGAAAACATCGTGAGGAAACGTGCATATTTTCGAAATAATAACAAAAAATCCGTAGTGGGGCCGCGTGGTGGACTATGCCCTGATACCCTCTGTATAGAGGAGCCCTTTGCCCAGCAGTGGAAGATGTATAGGCTGGTACTTTACTTTACTTTAAAACCTTCATAAATAAAATCGTCTGCAGTGACAGGTTTTAAAATTAGCTAAAATAAGGAGTTGTTTATTAAACATTTTAATAGAAATTAAATGACAGCGGCGTCCTCGCCTGCGTGGAGTGAATATAGAAAAGAAAGTTATAATAGACAGGAACTCTTCCCGATGTTACTTCGTTCAGCCGCGTTGCATGTTTCGTTCAATATCAATTACACGGCATCGATCAATCTTGTTTAGCCGCAGTATATCTTCAAAGACGGCTTATCTATTATATACGTGCATGGCTACAGTAGAGTACAGTAGATTCTACAATTCTAGTTGAAGACCGAAGAAGAAACGGGGAATTAAGACCTCGTGAAAACATAGACCGAATTTATTGCGCGTGGGAACTATTAAATATTCGATATCTTATCATCTATTTCGAAACAAAACAAAATCAACTTAGTCTACGATATCGATCTTAGCGCGTTCGTTCTCGAGCGACGAACAATGCTTGAGATTTGAACGTGATTACCACGTATTTGTTAAATAAACCTTATTTGCCGATTATATCCTTCCCTTTAGTGATCATTGTCCGGTCGCCCGGTTTTAATATCCCCCGGTGCCGACACCTATGAAATTGTTAATTTTAAGCGCTGTCTTATTACGTGTTCAATGGAGAAGGGAAAATGCTGAGAAAACCCGTACATTTTCGAAATAATGAGAAAAAAATTATTTCGAAGATGCTTGAAGTCCGCCGATCCGCAATGGGGTCGCGCGATAATCCACCTTATCCTCTTATAACCTCTGTACAGAGGAGCTCTTTGTCTAGCAGTTCGACATTTATAGCCTTCTTTACTTTACTTTTTCACTTAATGCTAACTAAATTCAATACTTTTACGTAATGTTAGAAACGTAAAATTCAAATTGAACGGTATCAAATCTGTTAATTGATTATATTTAACAATTATGCGCGTTCATTCCCATGTCAATTAAAAACCATGTCCCGGGCGGCACTACATAACCTCATGATAGCAAAGTGGTAAGTAATTTTATAGTTACGAACCTTATGATTACGTTAGAGTTACTCATTGATATTTCATGATACGTTAGTGCCAGTCGCAATTTGTTAGCGCGGTCTCAAATATTTAATAGTGAATGGTACGTCAGACTACATACAGCAGGCACAGCAAATTCTTGCGCCGAAACGCTATGCAGCGTTGTCAGGTTGAGTAACAAACTAATGACCGCCATGAAACCACTCCCACGTAGAGAGTGCCCGAAAGAGAAAACAACCGTTGACCGTCGCCGAGCCGGGCTAGCCACGAGTTTCTCGAAGAAACGAAACAAAAACCTTCGGACACCTGACGTTAGGCGAGTGGCCAGGCCCCGGTTTCTAAGCAATGCCATTTGGCAATGCCAAAAAATGCCCATTCACCGGCCGCCGCGACGACTTTCACTCCGTGGCCCGTTGGAAAAATCGGGCGACCTTTCTAGCGTTTGTCTATCCGTCGTGGCTATTATACGAGCCGTGGGTCGATTTCTAATGAGGCGCGAGGTGGATAACGGTTCGGGCGACACTAGAAGGGACGGTGTAGGCCTCTGTAGGGCTCGTGCGAAAGCTTATTGTTCTGTCGGAGAAACGCATAACTGTTACGGGCTGCTCGATGTCGGTGGCTCTGGATCTTGCTTCGTGACAGTGTGTAGGGGAGGCCTATGTTCAGCAGTGGACAAGAACAGGCCGAAGCGACGATGATGAGGAAAAGCCCATGGACGAATAAGCCCGCGGGGTTGCAGCCGCATTGCCAACCTTCAAATCGAGCGGGAAGCTCACGAGACAACGGAATTACAACTTCAATACAGTTTTCTTTGAGGCCGCGGTAGTTCGCTGGACGAGACCATTCGTGGGATAGAATAAACTGCTGTGTGGCATATATCTACGCATACACATATTAAATTAAATATAAAAACATAGTAAATACGTTTCATGTAAATACGTTTCAGGCTTGTGAAAGTTATTAAGTCTTTCACACTTCTACTGTACGCCAGTCTTCGGTGAGGTCGTGGTATTTACCCGGACGGACCTGCCCTTTCGTGCAGCAGCGAACACTGTTGCGTGGTCCTACCATTGTTAGCTAGTTACAGCTAGTCACGGATGCCAAGGATATGACAATGGACGCGCAAAGCATTGCTTCAAATGCTAAAAAACAATGTAGATATAAGTCCTTAAGATTTTCGTCGGTGTGGCAAGTTTAGCTTAGTGGCTAAAGCCACAGGCCGCGAATGCCGAAGACGTGGGTTCGATTCCCACAGCGGCGACAATCTTTTCGTACTTTTTCTACAAATTTTAACAATTTGTTCGTTTACGAAGTTTGGGTTAGGTGTTTTTTTATAACAGTTAGTAACACTTCACATGAAAATTATAAAAGATTCGCATATGAAGGACCTTTAAGCTTTTCGTTAATTTTTAGTATAATTCATATCGCAGGATGCGATACTTTAGTTATTAATTTCACAGTCGTAAATAAATTGTCTCTGAGTTATGTAAGTATATTTATCCCATTCATTCCGTACAACGTAATATAGTCTCGAGTAAAGAGCGTAGTTTATTGGCACTAGGAAGCGACGTAGACCTCGCCTACACATATTATGTATACGCGGCTGCCATCTTTATTTGCACTAACGTATCTCTCTGTCAAAGACTGTTTAGTTTATACAAATGATGCATGTTTATTGATCGCTTCGTATTGACGGAAGGATCTATGCATTGAACATTATCACGCAAAGCAAACGGTCACAAACACTCAGTCGGTACATTTTTAAAAACACCACAATATGATGTTGTGGTTATGGTACACGTTATCATTTCCGGAATGAAAAGATAATTTCTCTTAGCTGTCTAAAATGTCCACCTAATTACCGCCCGCGCTTTTCACCCTTCAATAAGTAATTTTTTAAATATGCAAATCTTTCTCGTTGTCGTTTATGTGAAAATAATGTAAATAGTTTACGTAATGTGCCTATTATTTGACATAATATGAAATGAAAACCTATTACACTGTGCTTGGCCCGTAATCCGCTCGAAGGATTCTTTATGTCGCTTTACGTCGGCGTTCGTCCATTTCCAAAGCGTTGCAGTCTAGTTTCACGTACGTGCTCCGCGTCTGAATCTCTGTTGCGAAGCCATTTTGCGAAGAAGATATATTGTTTGTAGAGGACTTACTTCGTGATTCAGAAACATTACAAAGTAATATATTGGAAAAGTGCATTTTTCCTTTCACGAACATTTTTAGATCAAAATGTTAATTCCTAGTGATTTTTATTTTTTGTTATCCTTAATAATGTTATATTAATATAGCGATGTCAACGAATTGTGGAAACCGTTGGGTTAATAAGGACAGGTTGCGCCTACTGGGGCTAGTATGTACAATTGTAAAAATATATTTAAAGAAAACATTTCCAATTTCTTAAGTTTTCAAAAACTTTCATTCTATTCAATAAATTATTATATCTATATCTTATATCTATTTTCTATAATTAAAGATGGACCAGATACATGATATCGAACAGCGTCTATGACGTAAGTAATAGGTAATCTCAAACAAAAGAACTGATTTTGGAAATATTTTCTCTAATAAAGCTGCAAACCTATGACACGAGGTATTTATTGAAATTCATCGAATTAAAAGTAATTTTTACGTAATCATCTTCAAACTGTCTCCAGTTTATATTTGCTTAGGAATAAGTAGTGACACGCTGACGTAATTTAATTATTAACCCGTGCGAATCTGGGCGAAGCAAATATTTATAATCAGTCACAAAATTAGATACAATCCATTGTACTTTGATGGTTTTTTTATATAAAATTAGAATAGGTATTTATTAAAATAATGGGAGAGTGAAATATGGTATATTATAAGTTGAAAAAGTGCAGAAACACAAGGTATTTGTTTGAAGAGAAAGCAACGAGTAATCCTTTTGTAAATCTCAAATATGTAATTATCGATTCAAATTATGATGACATAGAGATATAAATTCAATATAACATATTACTAAATAAGTGCTATGTTATATAGTTATCTCTAATAATCGTTGAATAATTATTTATTAGCTTTATGGTAGTCTTTAAGTCAAGTCTTTAATTATTCAACGATTATTCTGGCTCCTTATTATCTGGCTCCATTCACGAAATGACTCTTTTGTATGTATTAAACATATCTACGAGTTCACATATATGTTAACGAACCCATTCAAAGGAAATACCGTACTAATAGGATATGAATATGAATTTCGTTCATAATAATTATGTACAAATAAAAAAATATATGTTACTCGCTAATCTATGAAGGATGACTCAATAACAACGGAACTGCGATAACAAATCGGGATTTTTGCAACTCCGTTAAATAACTTATAACGTCTTTAATTTAAAACATCATTGTTTACACGTTACATTTAAAACGAAATAATATAACTTTTAACTAAGAGAGCGTTTTACTAGTGAGACAATAATAAATTGAAATGAATGGACGGACCATTAATTGCTGTACACCGACACACGTTATGAGTTGGTATTATTTCCTATCGCTTCTTATGAATTTCACTTTAAAACCATAACGAAGCCCTTATACACTAACACTAGCCCGTCTCGATAACAAGCTCGCAACAAGTGCTCCAACTTTTCTGATATTAATAATTCATTTAAAATTCATACCGCGTAACAAAGACTCATCATAAAAATTATGTAATAATTAATTTGGGCAAATTCACTTCAATAGTAATAATGCATAAGTATCAGCATAAGTAACATACTGAAGAAATCTTAATTATGTTAATATTTACCCATCTTGCTAAAGTGAGTTAAAAACCGTGCCAGATCATTTGTTCGTCTTTTTGGTTTTCTGTAGATGTAATGAAAAAATTGAATCCTTATTCCTTTAAGGCTTAAAGGAATAGGGATCATTTGCGTGTACGGTATACAACCAACGGAGATAGTTATCTGGAGCATATAGTTTTATCATGGGTAAACCTTATTTCTATGTTACCTGAAGTGCATCTAAAATTAAAAAAAATGAACCTATAAGCAACAGTTTAACACTATGTTTATAACTTTATAATGTACGCATATTACAAATCTGTCGTCTGATACATGACGTAACGAAAGCATGCACCAATTCCTGCCTTAATTAATGAGCATGCATTTGACATCCAGAAGGCAGTCAAGACTACGAATTTTCACGGTCATGCGTCTTCCACATCTGAGTTACTTATGTATTTATACAATTAATTTTTATTTGATTATTAACCAATCAATTATTTCTGACTCACCGAAATGGCTTGAAAAGCATATTTTTGAATTATTTTCAAAGTTTTGCTATATGTGTGTAATGTACAAAGCTCGACACATTAAAGTGGTAGAGTTTGTACATTACATTACCTTACTGATAATTTAATGACTCTACATTCTAACTACCGTTTCTTACAACCCTATTACATCGGTTACAACCTGCTGGGAGTTAATACGTTTTAACAACATTCTTTGACCTGGTAACCAAAAAGTTTTAACTTTGGACAAATATTGAACGGAATTGTTATTAAAAACACATTAATCGATTCCAAAGAGGAGATCAGTATTTATAATTTTTCAAGGAATATATTTTCGAGAGAAAATCTTGATTGAACAATAAATTTATAATTATAGTAACCAAGCAAAGTTTTATTCCGTCGAGGTAGCATAATAAATTTGTTCTAAATAATCTCGCACACTTACGTACGTACCTACCTATAGAGGTGGACTTTCGGATTTAAAAAAAAACTTTAATCGATTTGTTTTCTGCTGGTTCTTGGTGACAAATACAGTATGAAAATAAAATACAGTTAATAATCAGTGGTGAATATAGTGCGTATTTAATTTGGATTGTATTACGATTATTCTATTGTGGCCGTAGAATGTTCGAGCGCGTGGAAGATACCGTGTATGTTGCACAATGTAGGCGACCGGCGTCGGCCTGTACGCCGCTAGTGGGGGAGCGAGGCGCTCCGCGCTCGCGCCGAAAATCGCCGGTGTCATCGCTCTTGAGTGGCCCAGTTACGGCGATATTTCGATAGAAGTGGCCACGGACGCTTCCCACAGCCGCGCGGCAACAGACAACGAATTTTTATTCAATCCGCTAGCTATCTGTATTTGCCAACTGCCGGATATCCCTTTTGTTACGTTTCTATTTTACACTCGTAAATCGAACGAATAATATCTGTCCTCGGCTCTGTATAAGCCATGGAGGCATTGAGGCAGACTTTTTGTCTCTCATGTTCATTGCGCGTCGAAGGTACTGTTTTTTATTTTTCGGGTCAGTGAACGTCATACATAAATATATAATTATAATTATACGGGTATATTAAAATTTGCTCAGATTTTTTTGCAATATATTTTTTCATAAGTAGATAATAATTTTACAACGCTGAAGTTCATTTATTAATTTTTTTATGTAATGTAGTCAGGTTTTAATTTGAAAGTTTTAAGTTGAATAGTGCATCTCAATACCATCACCATACCGTTTCATGTACTAGTTCTTGTAATAAATATTAATTTCGAGTTTTCTGTATGAGAATAACTGCGACACAGTTTTATGTTATTAAATTAAATTAATTTAAGTATTTAATCGTTCTTCATTTCGAAGATTTCATTTTATATTCATTTTCTATAGCTGTAATTGATTTTATCGGTTGTCTATTTTTCCATAGACAACCGATGAC